GAGAGAGAGAGAGAGAGAGAGAGAGAGAGAGAGAGAGAGAGAGAGAGAGAGAGAGAGAGAGAGAGAGAGAGAGAGAGAGATTTAAGTTCAGTTAACCAAGGAGTGAAAGTAATATGAAAATAATAAAAATTATAACATAACATATCAACTACTAATCAACACTCCAACAACGAATTATGAACGTACAATACCCAAAATTTCTATTTACATGTAAATTAGTACGGTGACGAAACACTCCTCGGCGAACCGGAAAAAAACAACAACAAAAAAACAAAAAAAAACTGACAATGCTGACATTGCAAACACAGAAAGACAAAAACATTAAATACAAACATAAGGATGCCAAGGGGGTTTGGGAGCAGCCAAAGGAGGGAAGTAAGGAGCATGCTGGTGCAAGCAACACTTCCAATGCTACCGCCAGATGTACAAAACTGCAGAAGGTCATTAGGCAGAATAGGGGAATAGAGAGGGAAGACCTCCGTAAATAGTAAATACTGGATAACATTTGACAGTTGATATGTAGCCGGAGACACAGACGAATGGTAACGGCAACAGAATAGTAGCCTTAGTATGTAGACAAGCAGAGGAATTGTGGCATATAGAGACTGGACACGAGTAGTGTAGACTTGCGACCAAACTACCAACGAGTTAGAGACGTCGCGATGGATGGGTGACATTCTGCCTGAGGGACTCTGCCAGGTACACCCCTCGCCCGCGCTCCATCCTTTTCAGGAGGTTCTCCTGCCGCATGGCTGGGTGCTGCTAGAAAACCTCCTGATAGGCAGAACAACCCGCGAAGAACGGTCATGGCTTGGGGGGTGGGGTGCTCCGCAGCGGCCCCTCCTTGCTTAGGCGGCTAGTGCCACAAGGGCAAGGCTGATCCTCGTGGTTCTTGTATTTTCCCCCTCATTGGCTGTACAAACATGCTTGCCAGTGACAAGCAACCGGACTGACGACCCCAGAATAGAACCGGCTTTGTGTTTTCTAGAGAGAAAAAAAGAAAAAAAACGGGTCCAACAAGGCAATTTTTCCCAAAAAAAAAAAAAAAAAAAAGACAGGGCCAGGAGAAACTTCCAAGAAAGACATTTGAGATGAGCTGCTCTCTGCTACATTTATTGACGCATTCATAAACCAGACGGAGGACAAATGTGAAATAAGGACTTATCTCTTTTGCACGAGAGAAAAAGGAGGAAGGATAACCAAAAACTTACCCAAGTGGAACGACGCTTTGCAGCCACAAGTGTGTTCGCGATGGCTCGATGTCCAAGCCGCCACCGGTGCTGTTGCCTCCTCCTCCTCCTCCTCCCCCCCCGCCCGCCGTTTGTGACTTGACCACCACCGGAGATGAATCCAATAACGACTCCATGCGTTGAATTGGCGGCAGCGATCGTGAGGGTCTGAGAGGTCTTTGTTTCGCCTCCTTGCTCTGCAAAGATGCACCCGGCTGCTGCTGGCTCGATTGGATCGGTTCCACGGCAGGGGACATCCGTAGCGCACCACCGCCGCCGCCGCCAGGAATGTCTCTGTCAAAATCCAGCGAGCTTTTCTTGCTGCTTGGCAGGCGGTCCTCCTCGCCCCTCTGTCCCGACTGCCTGACCATGGATGGCCGTTGCAACAGCTCGGAAGAGACGCTTCTCGGAGACACCGAACTCGGTGCAAAGCGGTCCGACAAGAGCGACAGATTGAGATAGCTCGGTGCCATCAGAGTCAGGCTCAGCTCCAGCGACGTCAAATTGGTTGTTCGGACATGAACCACCTACATATACGTAAATATTGAATAATTAGATACGAAATTAATTATTATTAAATAAGCACGTTTCACCACAACCGTCTGAGAAAAACAATGCAAACGATGCAACTTCAAGATAAAGAGAAATGCGAGGATCCTGGTCCTCAGCAGGCCTAAGGGGCCCCCGTTACATCTGTGCCCGCCCTAGGTGAAGGCGGGCCTAACAAATCATGAGAAGCCCTCAGCTGTCAATTTCGTGTCTGGGGTCCAGGCAGTTTCGTCGAGCCAGTTGGTTGAAGGAAACACAGGCCGAGCAGTGAGGAAACTCCCCGGCCTTCTAGGCTTTTCCGAAAGCGCAGGCCCTGGGCAAGATTCGCAGCCTCATACACAGACAGTTGGGAGGCCCAACCGAATGAGGCCCAGTAGCTGCACCAGAGGCGCAGCATCCTGGGGCCTACCGGAAGCTTCTGGGCCCAGGCCCAGGCCAGCCAGGCTGCGAAGGCAGGCAGGCTCTTTCCATATAGGAAAGAGCTCGCTGCCTCGAGGGCCATTCAGCACTTGCATGCTGGCGGCAGCGCTGCTGGAGCGGACGCTCGTGGGCTGCTGCTGGCGCTGAGAGGCAAGGTGCTAAGCGCGTGCGGTCGTGCAGGGAGCAGGGCGCTGCTGAGGGCAGCGCCGTAGCCCAGCCTCCATAGCTGGACGGGCTTGGACTACAGTGAGGCGCAGGGGTGGTCTTCGGTTGTACAGAGGGAAGACGTGGGAGTAAGTCAGGGGAGAGAGAGAAAAATGATGATGATAATGATGTGAGGGCACATACCTGGTATTGGCGATGGTCTGCATTGGGCGACATCTTCAAGTACTTCGTGGGCTGCTGACGTCAACAATTGAATTGTCAATTAGTAGGCAGACTGTAGCTGTGTAGAAAGTAGGCTGGGCGCCGAGCGCCAATTAGGGAGATGGGGCCTGGACACTCATGGTGGTGGTGGCGAGAGCAAGCTCTCATTGACATTGGTTTTCAGTGTTACGATTCGTCATTGGTGTTATATTGGTGCATTTCTCCCAGAGGCAAATGGCCAAGCAGAGCAACTGAACCGCGCTGCACAACACCTGGTGTGGCGCTACATCAAGCGTAATCAGGTGGACGGGGATGAGAAACTTGCTCTCATCGCCAGCCTGTACAACAACGCTGTGCACAGCGCCACTGGGGTGAGCCCTAACCGTCTCCTACCTACGTTCAAGTCTAGACTACCCCTTGACTTCCTATTACTTGAGAACCAGCTGACTGCTGCACTTGGTACACTAGAGTTCGCATATCGATATGAACAAATGATGCAGCAGGCAGTAGAACAGATGCACAGGGCACAGGCAGCGATGATAGATTCTGACAATAAGCATTGCCCATCTACATTCCAGGTAGGGGACAGAGTCTGGGTAAAGTCTCAGAACCGGGTCAGGAGCACGGGATCTCCCGCAAGCTCATGCCTCAGTACTTCGGACCCTGGGAGGTTCTAGATATCGTTGGGGATGGTCCGGATGGGCCTTCATATGTAATTCAGAACCCTGGTCACCTTCACACTTACCCTGTTTTCCACACCTCCAAGCTCGCACCTTTCAGGGAACCTGACCAGTTTCCTTCTCGTCGCTCAATGCTGCCCTCAACCATGGATGGAGAGGTCGACATCGACGACATCGTGGATCATAGAGAAATGCCAGTAGCAAGAGCGACAGGCAAGGGACGTTCTCCGAAGCCGAAGCTGCAGTACCGAGTTCGGTTCAGACATCACACTGATCCAAAGGAGGATAGATGGTTCACACGGGAGGAACTCATGCAAACCGCTCCATAGGTTGTCGCCCACTATGAGAAGTTGCTGCAGAAAGGAAAGCGCCAGATTGAATGAACTTCTCAGAGGACTAGCGAAGTATGGAGGAGGGAATGCGAGGCACAAGGTCTCAATAAGCCCCACTGGGCCCTGTTATCAGCAAGGTTGGCCGCCCTAAGTGAGGGCAGGCCTGACCGAGGCCTATTTTGGACTTCTACGCAACCGGGGAAATTTCAGGCAGCTACGCAGCGCCAGTTGGTTGGAGGCACCCAGGCCCAGGCTGCCTTTCACCGTATGTAATTGAGGCAGGCCCTGAGCCGGATACACAACATGGACCGAACAAAGGCTGAGGGCAGTTGGGCGCTAGTAACCACCACAGGCCCTAGGCCTGTTTCCTTGGGACTGAGGCTCAGCCTCGTGGGCCCTACCGGAAGCTTCTGGGTCGGGGCCTAGTACCGCATTACCGCACGCAGCAGCAGGCCACTTCGATATAGGGAAGGGCCTGCCCACGCATTGGGCATTCGAGCACTGGCTGCATGTTGCGCAAACGCTAGCCAGCGCTCACGCGCTCACGGGCGAAATGGAAGCAGCAGGCAGCCATAGTCGAGCTGCGATGCTGTATGTTGGATGTGGCGCATGGTGGTCCTTGGGTGCATGTGGCATCTGTGAGTTGCGGAACGAGGTTGTGAGTGATACGATAGACATACCTGGTGCGTGAAGCGAACGACATTGGCCGAGATCTGCTCATACTTCGTGGAGCTGTTGACGTCACCAGCGGGATTGTACATAGGCTAGATAGGTTCTGCCATTTGTAGTCTGGGCGCCGAGCGCCAGATAGGATGTCGACATAGGTTCTTTGTTGATGATGATGATACTTACTCGAACATTGTCACTTACGAGCTTTTGCTGTACCATTATTTGGTGGGACTCGCGATGCAATTCTGCTTTTGGTTCGAGGTCTCGACTATCTGGTCTCATGTGTATGATGCTGCTTGGTTTCTGATGTTCGTGATCGCTCATTTTCCTTGCAATAGCAATCAGTCTTGCATATTTAGTAAATCTATCCACAATGACAAATAATAAAATATATGCGATTTTCCACTCTTGCTGGTCACGAGAGTATCCATGAAATCCATGGACACACTCTGCCCAGGTCCAACAGGAATAGGCAGGGGTTTAATCAATCCCAAAGGTGCCTGCGTCCTTGGTTTGTCACGTTGACAAACTTGGCAGGTCTCTACATATTTCTTTGTATCCTGCATCATTGTGGGCCACCAAAACTCTGTACTAGGTTAGCTGATGTCTTTCTATAGCCAAAATGACCAGTTGCATCATGACATTCCCCTAAAAGTAAACTACGCAAAGACTCACTGTTAGGAACACAGTCTTTTATTCCCTGCCTTTTCAAGAAACAACAAACCATCTACCATCGTAAATTCGTCAGAAGTTACTTTATCCTTCTCTTTGAACTTACGGATGATCTCAGACATAACGGAATCTTGTTGATAGACTTCCACCACAAATCGAGTTAGATCGTCAGATATGCCAAATTCAGTTACTAGCGCGCCCAGGTAATATGCTCGTCGTGATAGTGCATCAACTACTTTGTTGTACTCTCCCTTGATTGGATCAAGTTGATAGTCATACATGTCTATCACTTGAGTCCACCGCTTGAGTGCGTTAGAGAGTACAGACTGTGTCTTGATTCAACGCAAGGTCTCATGGTCAGATCTCAAGTAGGAAAATCTGCCTAGGGGGTAGTGTCTCCAATGGACCAGCACTCTGTAGAGGGCATAGAGCTCACGCTCATATGTGGACTTTGCTAGCTGTTGAGACGGCATCTTATTACTCGTGCACTCGATGGGTTTCAACTTTGGCCCCTCCTTTTGTGCAAGGACCGCGCCTATGCCATATTGGTTGGCGTATGTGGTCACGGCAAATGGCTTATCAGGATCCGGAATCTTAATTCCTTAAGCTTGCTTCACACTCTTCAGTCCAGTCCCAAGGGGTGTCAAGTCGAGTTAGATTAGTTAATGGGGAAGCTATAGTACTATAGTTTTTAACAAATAGACGATAGTAGCCCGTCATCCCCCAAAACGATCGGACCTCAGTAACAGTCTGAGGTCGAGGCCAGTCCCATATGCTGGCCACTTTGGCATCGTCCGGCCCCAACCCATCCGCAGAGATTTCATGACCCAAGTGCAAGATCTTGGTGCGACCGAACTCGCATTTCTCCAAGTTTACCTTGTACTGGTGTTGTCTTAGGAGACCTAGCACTATTTTTAAGTGGCGTGCTCCGCTACAGTCCTACTAAAGATAAGAATATCGTCGAGGTATACAACGATAAACTTGTCTAAGTACTCGTGAAAAATCTTGTTCATTGCGTGCTGGAATGTTCCAGGTGCATTGCATAGGCCAAAGGGCATCACCACAAACTCGTACAGACCGTACATGATCTGGAAGGCAGTTTTGTGCTGGTCCTCAGGTCTATTGGCAATTTGATCGTATCCGGACTTCAAATCTATCTTTGTGAAGTACCGGCATCCCTGCACTCTATCCAAGAGGTCGTCGATGCGGGGTAGGGGCTCCGCGTTCTTAACGGTGATGGCATTGAGGCCCCTATAATCAATGCACATCCTCAGTGTACCTCCCTTCTTAGGGACAAATAGGGCTGGTGCACCATAAAGAGAGGTACTAGGCCGAATCCATCCCTTTTTTGTGAGCTCCTTGAGCTGGCGGCGGAGCTCATCCAACTCCGCAGAAGACATCCTATAGATTCGTCCTCTAGGCACCTTACTACCTGGGACAACCTCTATCGCATGGACAACCTCCCTTGCCACCACGCCTGTGGGCTCCTCGAAAAGGTCGGAATAATGCGCGACGACTGATTCTCTCTCCGGGGTTGTTTTTACAGCCTCCCCTTTCTCAAAGACAAAGACTAGATACATGCCCTTCTCGCGATTCTGCTTATAGTAGTTATAGAAAGAGGAGGCACACATGCAGCCGTAGTTTTCCACTAGGCTGCTAGCTTTAAACTTTTGCGGTCTATCGGTCCTACCATTGGGCAGCTTGTTAACCTGTCCCAATCAAACTGAGGCTGAGCGACCTCGAGGTAGTACATGCCTAGTAACATATCAAAGGGCAGTTCGTCGCTAACGAGGAATGAGATTTTGTGTCTCACCTCTCCTCCTCCATAAGAGAAGGAACAAACTACGTCCTTGACATAGTCTTTAACTACCATTTGGTGCTTGTTGGCTATCGTAGAAGCTACAGTTCTGCTAAGCCGCTGCACTTGGTCCCCTAAGCGCAGTCTATCCACACAAGCACAACTAATGAAATTTCGTGTAGAGCCTATGTCTGCGAAGCCACCCACTTTGCGGCCACCTACATTGACCTCTACCACAAAATGTTCACCCTTAGGACCTCTACTAATCATCGTCCAAAAGTCTCTGGGGTCCTTCCCTGACCACTCAGGCTGTAACTCTTCTAAGGACTCAGACACATCTCTCGAACAGAGTGTCGGTGGGTCTGAATGTGTCTGCGGGGTGATTTTTGGGTCACTAGCCTTGGCCAACGCCTGAAGTGGGGAAGGCAACGTTACCACTTCAGCACGAGTAAGAGCAACTAACATTCCTACTGGCCCGAGGTGTTTCCCTGCAAAGTGCCCGCAGAAGCATTTCTAGGGTTCAATGATAAGCCCACTGCCGTTGGAGCGGCTACCATCGTCGTGACCTTCTTGCCTCGACAAGTCCTCGACGTGTGGCCATAGTTGCCACAGTTCATGCGTGTGCCCCTGGCAACTCGGTCCCTCCACACCTCGTAATCTAAACCAAGTTTTACCCATGCGAGTGTTCCTTGGTCGCATTGATCCGTAGACCGGCCTACCTTCTTCTTCCCGGTCCCCCTAGCCTTTTCCTTTATAGGAGCCACAACTCCGCCATCCGAAGTCTCGCTGGCCCCATCATGCTCTGTCTTGTCCCCATAGTCTGGGAAGTCGTCAATTTTTGTCGCCTAACCACCATGGTTTACGAACATAAGTTGACCTTTCTTTTTCCAGTCCTGGGGAAGTCTCTTCTTCCTACCATTTCCCTGACTCTGATGCGCAAACCCAAGCTTTGCCTCTATATCTAAGGCTTTCTTGCTAAAAGATGCGAAGTTATGTTGGTCGACGTAGGCCTCATCCACGAGCTTAGTCCTAACCTCTGAAGGCAGACATCTCAAGTAATCCGTGAGGAGTACCTGCTGGTCGTAGCGCACACCAGGCACCACGAGTAGACGTTCTACGGTGTTCGTGATCTCACGAACATTCTTGTACCTTTTGGCACAAAGATTGTTAATTGCGTCGGTGGCCTTTTGTGCCCCTTGAGGGTCATGCCACCTATTATACACACACTGTACGAAGTCTTCCAATGTCTGGGTCTGGTCCTAGGCATCAAAATTTTGACCGTAGCCCTGTTGCTCTACTAACCCATTCAACCAACGCGCTGCTGATCCCTCTAAAAAAGAAGCAACAACTATAACTTCCTGCTCTGGCCTGGTGAGCTTGTGCCTCACATAGGTAGGCACTGTCCTCCCCCAGGTATCCAAGTCCTCATCCTTCTTCGTGTAGCGAGAGAAGGGCTTAGGACTCAGCAAGGGTATCTTGGGCATCCACTGCATAGGCTGCATCAGCCCAGGTGATTGCTGCAGTGGCTGCATAGCCACTGAGACAGGTTGCTACACGCTCACCTGGGCCTGTCCTGATGATGGGACTGTAGTTACCACCATCGTGGATGGTACAGAAGAAGCTCTAAGGACCGGTCCACTAACTACTGGTTGTCTGCCTGAGAGAGGCAAGCCATACCTAGGCGAGAAGGTTTGCCCTATCGGCGACGGCGTCACTGAAGGACCTGCAACCGAAGGCGGAACTACAGGGAACTGGGGCTGCCTTATGACTGGGCGAGGCCCCTGAAGTGCAGCCAGAATTCGTTTTTGGCCTGCCAGTAGTTCAGCCAACAATTCCTGCTGAACTACCTGCGTTTCTGCCACACAAAGTAGCGAGTTGCGCAGTGACCGATCAACAGGATTTAACGTTGCATCATCTAGTTCTTCTAGTCGTCTTAGCTCCTGCAACCTAGTGTCTAATCTGACTTTTCTCAATCTAGCCCTTTCTCTTCTCTCTTCTACTTCTCTCAGTTGCCGCTGCAACTCATCATGAAGAGCTTCCGTTTGGAGGATCTCATAATCATCCGGAGTGAGCGGGGGCACCTGGCTGACTTGCACGCCAACAATTTGACTTATGAGCCTTGAGTACTCTGGCTGACTCCTGATGAAGTGGCCTGTGAAGAGGCCTGTGACATGGTAGAGGAGGTAGCCATGGCCAAACCTGTGCTAGCTATGCTCCTAGCCCTGGCGCTGGCCTCAACGTCCCTTGTCCTCCGCAATGTCGCCCTCTCCCTAGCTTCTCTCCGCAGCCTCCTTTCCTCTCCTGGACCTATCTCCAGGAAGGTCAAAGGTCGACTGAGAGCAGTTCTGCGAGTAACCCTAAGATCTTCCACTAACTCCTCCTCACTACTAACAACTTCACTCATGAGCTACAGTGGAGTGTGATCTAAAGACAGAACTCACGGTAAGAAGCAATGAAGAGGGTAGAAGGAAGAGAGCAACGAACCTCATAATGCTGCCCCCAACCACAGATTTCTCACCGGCAACCTGATGTGCGCTTATGATGACCGGTCTTTGCCCCGGCACAACCCACAGCAGAATGCAGTTCCACCTCGGCATAAATGCCAGATCAGCGAGCTCTCATCATCCAGCGTACACGCCTAATGTCACCACATAGCTTCCTGGTGCGCCCACACGACCCTGGGCCGCCAATCGTTCACCGCCCAAGCCTTATCACTGCCCCACACCTCATGCGAATCACCAAACAGTTATTGCGAAGAACCGATGAAGCGCAGTTTGAACCAGCTCCGATACCAAATTGTAAGGAAAATGAGCAATAGCGAGATGACAATGTTCAGAATGCACAATCACATTGAAGGCCAGATAGTATCACAGTGTCCAGAAACCGGAGGTCATCTACAGTTGTGTACCCTACAGGCTGGCGATGAGAGCAAGTTTCTCATCCCCGTCCACCTGATTACGCTTGATGTAGTGCCACACCAGGTGTTGTGCAGCGCGGTTCAGTTGCTCTGCTTGGCCATTTGCCTCTTGGTGGTTCCCGGAGGTCATCTACAGTTGTGTACCCTGTTCTGCAGCTGCAGCCTTCCATAATTCACTTGTGAATCTGACATCCCTGTCACTAACAATAGACTTAGGAAGCCCAAACTCCCTAACCCAGTTCTCCTTGAACAGTCTAATCACATACTTCGTTTTGGATGTCGCAGGCATAGCGACTAACCTAGCATACTTACTAAACCTATCCACAATGACATAGATATAATGCATTCCATTCTTGTTGGTGACCAGTGTGTCCATGAAGTCCATAGACAGGCTCTCACCGGGCCTTTCTGAAATCAGAAGGGGCTTGAGAAGCCGAAGAGGGGACTGTGTACGTGGCTTGTCTCTCTGACATACCTGACAAGTCCCCACGTACAGCTTGGCGTCTCTCATCATTGTGGGCCACCAGAACTGCTGCAGCAAGTTGGCTGCAGTCTTTTTATAACCAAAAAAATATCTTGTGGCATCGTGACCCTCACCTAGAAATAAACTACGCAAAGACTCCCGATTGGGCACACACAAACGTTTATTCCCGGCCTTCTCAAGGAACAGCAGGCCGTTGACCAACTCAAACTTGGCTGAAGTCGCTTTGTCCTTCGCCTCGAGTCTACGTATGATCTTGGCCATAAACGGATCCTCACGATAGGCTTCCACCAAAGAACGAGTAACATCATCCGCAAGCCCAAACTCAGTGATCAACGCACCCGAGAAATATCGCCTACGCGACAACGCATCAGCAACTTCGTTGTCCTCATCGTTGAGATACTGGGGTTCGAAGTCATACTGCTCAATGACTTCGATCCAGCGTTTCAGCGCATCAGAGAGCACAGGCTGGGTTCTCATCCACCTCAGGGTCTGATGATCATTCCTGGCGTAGAAAAACCACCAAACGAGGTAATGCCTCCAATGGGTTAGCGCTTTATAGACCGCATAGAGCTCTTTCTCATAGGTGGACTTAGCCAACTTCTGAGAGGGCATCTTTTTGGACACGTACTCTACAGGCCTCAACTTTGGCCCCTCCTGCTGCGCGAGCACGACGCCTATGCCATATTGGCTAGCATCCGTGGTGACTATAAACGACTTGCTAGGATCAGAAAGATTCAAGACCTCAGTGTGTGTCAAAGCATGCTTCAGGTGTTTGAAGGCAGCCTCACACCTGTCTGTCCACTCCCATGGGGTGGATCTAAAGTCCGGGTACCATCAGATTGCAATCCGGCCCGAGGATCAACACAAAACCGCATTTCAGACCAGGTATGGTCTGTACGAGTTTGGGGTGATGCCTTTCGGCCTTTGCAATGCTCCTTGCACCTTTCAGCACGTGATGAATCGGATTTTTCATGACTACTTAGACACGTTTGTCATCGTGTACGATGAGCATGTCGCTCACCTAAATAAGGTTCTCGGCCTCCTTCGGCAACACAAGTTCAAGATAGACGGGGAGAAGTGTGAGTTTGGCCTCTCGGTTCTTGACAGTGATGGCATTGAGGCCCCTATAGTCAATGCACATCCTCAAAGTTGCCCCCTTCTTTGGTACAAATAGGACTGAAGATCCATAAGGGGGGACACTCGGCCAGATCCAACCCTTCTCTACGAGTTCCTTGAGTTGCCGGCGGAGCTCATCAAGCTTGCTTGGAGACATCCGATAGATCCTACCCTTTGGAATACTAGATCCTGGGATAATCTCTAACGCGTGGACAACCTCCTTCTCAACAACCCCTTTCGGCTTTTCAAATAGATCAGGGTATTTAGCGACTACTCCCTCTATCTCCGACGACATTTTCATTGGCTCACCTGCTACAGAGACATAAACTAGATACATACCCTCCTTCGGATTTTGCTTATAATAATTATAGAATGCAACCGCACACATGCATCCGCAGGACTCGTTCAGACTACTAGCCTTAAACTTACATTAATTTGGCGGTCCCCCCACCTGGCAAAATGTGCTTGACCACTTTTGGTCCCAGTCAAACTGGGGCTGTGCAACCGGAAGATAGTACATACCCAACAAAATGTCCATTGGTCCATTGGGAGATCATCGCTGACTAGGAACGAGACGCGATGTCTCAGTTCCCCTCGCACGTCCGGGAAACAACACTCAACGTCCTGAAGGTAGTCGTTGACTACCATGCGCTGTTTGTTGGCACAACTTAACTCCACACGTCGACTCAGGTGCTGCACTCGCCCGTGTAAGCGCAACCTCTCAACGCACGCGCGACTAATGAAATTTTGTGTCGAGCAAGTGTCATAATAGGCACCGGCCTTGCGGCCGCCGATGCCTACCTCGCTGACCAACATCTCACTCCTAGGAGCTTTAGCCAATGTCGTCCAAGAAGCTAGCGGGTCTGATGTAGACCACTCCTCCTCTAGCTCCTCTAAGGACTCGAACACATTCATCGAACAAACGCTTGATGGGTCTGAATGTATCCGCGGGATGACAATGGAATCAGTAGCTTGGGCCATCACTCGAGATGGTGAGGGTGTGTCCACCACCTCGACCCTAGCAGGAACAACTACTATTCCTACTGGTCCGACGCGTTTCTGGGAGCAGTGCCAGAACTACTGGCCACGTCGCTACCTACGGGAGCGGAGGATCCCAACGCCTACCCCATCGTAGGCGGGATCTTCTCGGTCACCTTCTTGTTCCGACACTTAAACTAATTATGGCCATATTGGCCACATCAGCTACAAGCCTGCCGGGTGTACCGATCTCTCCACACGAGACCCGCTGTGAGGAAACCCAGGGAGGCCATTCGCTGAAGCCAGGGGCTACAACACCTGTCACTCGCTATACCCGCTTCAGAGGTCCTCAGCGACCAGTAGGTTGTTGGTTTCGACACTGACCTCCTACACAACCATTATGAGTGTCATGCTCGAAGTCCTTCACTGCCTGTGGGGCTGTGATAAGATTAAGTAATCTGAAATGGATCGTCGATGATCACCTTAGTTAAGCCGGAGAGTATCTCGCGGGCTCAATCTGCAAGGGATGCTAGGGACCGCCAAGCCATCAAAATGCAAGGGTTTAGGATGCCGTTTCATGCTACAAAATTTTTAGAGGGTTCGTTAGAACAAACTCTGTGAAATTTGAATCAATCAATGTCTTTTTCAAAGTAAGAGCCGAACAATCACACAGCCATTACTCACAAGAAGTGGAGCATCAGTTTGATTCACCAGAATCCGAAGTTGCGGCTAAATTCACTTTCGCCGCCCTCGGAGTGTGTCAAGCGCCATTTCGGGTTTGAAGCTGCCGCTTGGTATTGGCATTTTGTTGATGTGGTTTGGTTATTTCTATTCGTATCTATTTATTGTTGGGGGGGTAATTAACACTTACTACCCCAAAACCCGGGGACGCGTGTCAAAGGGCTCGCAAGAGCTGGGTCCCCGACCGAAGGCGCTTCCCAAAAAAAAGACTCAAAAGAACCATGTTTCAGCAACAGCCATTCACAGGCTTGTTCGACTCATCTGCCAAAGTGCACGTGCGTGCCAACAACTGAAATGCTTGCCACATCGGGGAGACCGTTGATACCACTGAAAGTAAGCCCCTTCCGTCGGCGGCGAGTTGCCTGATTTAGCAAGGCACTAAAAGCAAAAGCTCTCTTCAGCAGCGGCTGCCTGTTGTGAGATCACCATAAATAAACACTTCCGCCGGCGGCAGCCAGCCTCACTGGCTGATCACCGTAAATAACACCCCCGCCAGCAGCGAGCAGTCTGGTCGACAGATCACCGTTTGATCATAGCTTCTCACGCAGCGCACGTAAGGGGAAACGTGGGCTGCCTCCTTTTCCCCCAACAGGGCCGCTCTCTCTCTCTCTCTCTCTCTCTCTNCTCTCTCTCTCTCTCTCTCTCTCTCTCTCTCTCTCTCTCTCTCTCTCTCTCTCTCTCTCTGTCTGTCTGTGCACAGTCTCTCCCTCTTTCTCACTCTCTCACTCACTCACCTACTCCACGGATTTGGGGGAGGGAGACTCCATCTCACTGCAGCTCCCACGCACGCCATGACCTCAGCCCGCTTCCTCACGCGAACAGGCACGATCCAACACCGTCTCCGCTGCAGTCTTCTGGTCCGCCTTCCGGTCGCACTGGCTCGCTGCGTTCCCTCTTGACCCAGTTCGCGCGCTGCAGTCCCTGTTCTCCCTGGTCGCCCAGCTGCCGAATGTCCCCTGTACTCCGTTGTTCCGCCCTATATCCCATGGTACCAGAGGCGGCTGGCCTGGCCCTGGCCTCAACGGACCGAAGGTACCTGGCCAGGCCACCGCGCCAGCGCGGTCCATGCAAGCCCAACAGCACCAGCAGGGAATGCTGCAGAAATCTCAGTAAGGCACAAGCACCCCGAGTCAAGGAAAAAAGGGCCTCTTTAGGGCCAACGTGGACGCCAGGTGTCTCGGGGTACACAAGTGAGCCGTGACAGCAGCATCGCGCGGCAACATCCTGAGTAATTCGTAGCAGTTCCACAATATGCGTTCCAATGCCGAATCTGTGACCATTACACAACCTAATTGGATCAGCTGCCCCATAATATGCTGCTTCAGTCCCATGCCTATGTCCGAGCCTGATAAACAGGAACAAGCCGCAGTAAGCTACCCCCTTTACCATTACCATACCAGTGCAGAACCAACCAATGTCAATTACCGTGTTATGCAGCAACATCGAACCAGCAACCCAACCAAGGTACCGTGCCTGCACGAAACCTGTGACCATACCAAAATAGTGGCGTAGCGCGGCGACAATCCGGTACAAAACCGAGTTGGTGACAAAGGAGCGAGGCGCAACAGTCCCGAACTAGACCGGTGTACCATATCAGGAAATGCCAATCATCGAACGACCCAGTATAGTACTGGCCCCGAACCAGCGTTCCGGTCTGTTCCGATCCAGTCGTCGTACCATCAATGCAGAATGTTGTACCATGAGGCAAAAGACCCATGCCAATATTAAACAGACGACCGTACCGTACCAGTTCCGAACCGGTGTGCCGTGCTCACTCCAAACCGTGTCGCCCTAACTCAAAAATCAGTCCCACTCACTCAATACACCCGGGTTAATGCAAGGGCAGTAATCAAATCAATCAGGCAAAATCACGCATGGGTTCATAATTATCGGAAACTCGCACGGATCAACGGTCTCGGGGTAAATAAATAATTCCGGGCAAAGTTTCATCAAAAATAAATTCTGATAAAAATTAATCAAATAACAATTAATCATTTGTTATCTATTCTTTTATTATTTTTATTTCTTTCGAGCATTATTAATTTTGCTATTGGAATTAATGAAAATAGAGAACAATTTTATCAAGGATGAATTCCGATGAAACTTAATTAAATAGCAAATATTTCGTTATTTTCCTCCCTTTTATCATTTTTAATTCTTTTCCTCAGTTTTACTTTTGTTATTAAAATTAATGAAAATTGAGGGTCCAATTCCTCGTCAATTGTTGAGTGTAAAAGCGGGGCGCCAAGCCTTAATCCCATACCGCCGCTCCGCAGTTGCCGCTTCGGGAACAGCCTCGCAACGAACGAAAATAGAAGATGTCAAGCGTGGCTTACGCGGCTGTTCATCATGCTGATTTCAAGGGTCAATTTCTATAATCGATGGGGGGGGATTTTAGGGATCCCTTCCCCACCCCTAATTTTTCCCGATAGGGCTGATGAAAGTGCGGGTTGATCCTTCCCTAGGCACTCAACCCAAGGCCCAATCCTTTGAATTTCGGGTGGTCGACGGGCCTGCGGCCGCCCGACACCGCTTTCTCCCATGGAGAAGCGTTCGGGTCAACTTGACTCCTAGACCAGGAACCTCCACGACGTCTACCAGTCACCTTACCTTTTTGGAGAGAGGCATCGACAGTTCCACCCCCTGAAACTTCTATGCTGCCTACCTCTGAACCCACTCCCGCCTGGAAGTCATTTTCCAACTCGATGGTAGAACCATCGTTGTCAACGAACACGATGCGACCCTTCGCCTTCCAGTTGGGAGGCAGTGACTTCTTCCTACCGTCTGTTGTGGGTGTTTGTCCATGCCCTATCTTTGCCTCCAGGTCTAGAGCCTTCTTGCTGAATGAGGGGAAGTTGTGCATGTTGATGTTGGCCTCACCTGCCAACTGATTCCGGAGAGGCATAGGAAAACATCTAAGGTAGGAGGTGAGTAAAACTTGGGGGTCGTAGCGCACCCAGGGACACAGATCAGACGCTCTACTGCCCTCTCTTACTAACTTAACTATCTATGGTTCAGAGTAAGGATCGCGTCAGTGGCCTTCTAAGCCTCCTGAGGATTGTGCCACATGTCTTCCACCAGTTTCAAGAAGTCATCCAGTTTCTGGTTGACTGCCCAAGCGCGGAAGTCATGCCCGTATCCCTGTAGTTGCACTAAACCCACTCAACCATCTTGTTGCACTCCCCTTTAAATAGGAGGCATCCACAAGCACTTCCTCGTGCGGCAAGGTCAGTTTACACTTGACATAGACCGGCACTGACCTCAACCATGTGTCAAGGTCTTCGCCCCTCTTGTCCCCTGAAAAGGGTTTGGGCGAGGCGATGGCCATCTTTTGAACCCATGGTGTTTGTCCCGGCACCTGTCCCACTCCAGGTTGTGGACCTTGGGGAACAGGCTGCTGCACTTGCTGCTGCTCGGGCTGTGTGCCCTGCGGCTGTGCAGGTTGCGAGACAGCAGGCTGCCCCGTAACGGCAACCTGCGACGGAGGTTGGGAGTACACTGTCTGTACAGGAATCTGTACACCAGGACCTGCTGAGAACCCTCTTGTTAGCGACATTCCTAGGGAAGCGGCTTGGACCGATGCTGGAGAGACATATGGGGATACCCCAATCACCGATGGGACAAAAGGAGGAGGATGCACAATGGGCCAGGCACTGGGCCCAGACGGTGATGGTGCTGATTGCGCTCGCCTGACTAGTACGGCCCGACTTTGCTGAATGTCCTGAAGGAGAGCCTTCTGGAGGTCCTGCATTTCTATTACATCTAGCAGGACGGACCATAGGGTCCTCACATCGTTATCCATGTTCGTAAAGTCCATCTCCTCTAACTTGCTAACGTCCGCTTGTCTCCACTGCATCTTGGCTCTTCTTCTAACCATCTTCTCTTTTTCTGCCTTAATCTCTCCTAACGCCTGCTGTAGCTGTGCCTCGCGAATAGCTGCTCGCTGCATGGCGACCTCCTCGGGCTTCGACACTATTGGCTGGCTTGCCATGACGCCAGTGGACTGACTCAAGGTTTGTGCGACCATTGACCCTACAAAACTTGAACCACTAGCTTGAGAGCTTTGTTGCGCAGCAGATGCCATGACTGCTGAAGTAGCGGCCTCGCTCACGAATGCCCTGCTTGCCTTTGCGGCCCTAGCCCTCCGCTGCTGCTGCTGTCTCTCCCTCTGTTGGCGGAACAAATATCTGTCACCCTCTAGTCCTAATGCCAAATGAGCTATCGGTCGTCTTGCCGATCAGAAGATCCTATCGTCCTCTCTAGTGTCCGCCCTGTCGCTCATAGGCTACAACACTGTGCATTGTCTGCACTAGGTCACTCTCGATGCCTACCACAACATGATGTACAAACCGATTTAAAATAATTAAATAATTAATCGGTGGCTAAATCAGAGTATATACATTTGGGTCCAACAGGTAAGTTCAAATTCCTACAAACAAAACTATTTTGACTTTGACTAGTTCACAAACAGAAAGCATAATAAACAGTAAACAGTTCTAACTATGTTGTTCGTCAGATGTTAATGGTTGTACATGTAACTAAAAATAAAATAAAATAGAATCATCTGCTGGGTCTGTTTGCAGAATGGAATCTTGCCCGAACTTACCGTCTAAAATCTACCCGTCCCTCACTTCTTCCTAAATGTCTCTTGTCGGCAGCGTGCCTGAGCAATCCGGAACAGCATGTGTCTAAGGTGTGCACACAGCCCACCCCTATGCCCCGAGCCCTGCTGAGCTGGCCAGCCCTGCACTGTCTTTATCCTCGCGTGCAGCGAGCCTTACACCGACCGATTGGCTGAGCAAGAGATGTTTTTATGGATGCCCCCGGAAGTCCTCATGAATTCTTTAACGTCGCAAACAAGACAACGATCACAGCCTATGGAAGGTCCCCTCCGGTACTTATTTATAGACGTCCGGAACTCGTCTTTCCCATAGGGCTGGCCTGCCCCTCAGAACCCCTCTATAGCGCAGCGAGCAGACAAAGGACAAAGCAACAAAGCATGCGTGCTCTAGTCCCGCTGGGTTGGCATGGTGACCGTGACCCAGTGCTTCATCCAGGGCCCTTCACATAGCATCGCCCTCTCCTTCCAGATGCTCCACGTGAACACTAACGACTCTCGAGGTTGAGCGCATTCGACTCCTCACATGAGAGGACTCTCAAGACATAACACATCCTCACGGTAAGAAATGTCGAAGAGGGTAGATAAGGTTAGGTGCAACGTACCTCAAATTAGCTGCCCCCAACCACAGATATTCTCACCAGATGACCCGATGCTGATTGTGATGACCAATCGCTGCTTCGGCACAACCAGCATTGCACCGCCGTTCCACCTCAACATCAATCGCACATCGGATAGTTCTCATCACACTGCGAACACCCAATAATCACCACATATTAGCCTTCCTGGCGATACCCCTCTTCTCCTGGGTCGCCTTACTTGCCTTCGCCCTCCTCACTACACACATCCCACGGCCGCTCACTCAACAGACCGCGTGCATGTACTGCTTAGACAGAAGACAAGCGCCAGATGAGCGCACCATACCACAACTCAGATACCAAATTGCGAGGAAAATGAGCGATAGCGAACATCAAAAACGAAGCAGCATCATACACATGAGACCAGATAGTCGAGACCTCGAACCAAAAGCAAAATTGCATCACGAGTCCCACCAAATAATAGTACAGCAAAAAAGTGACAACGTTCGAGTAGTCTCATCATCATCAACAAAGAGCCAATGTCGACATCCTATCTGGCGCTCGGCGCCCAGACTACAAATGGCAGATCCTATCTAGCCTATCTACAATGCTGCTGGTGACGTCAACAGCTCCACGAAGTACGGGCAGATCTCGGCCAATGCCATTCGCTTCACGCACCAGGTATGTCTATTGTATCACTCACAACCTCGTTCCCCAACTCACAGATGCCACATGCACCCAAGGACCACCATGCGCCCCATCCAGCATACAGCAGCGCAACTCGGCTATGGCTGCCTGCTCCTTCCAGCTCGCCCGTGAGCGCGTGAGCGCTGGCCAGCGTTAGCGCAGCAGCGCTTGCGCAGCATGCAGCCAGTACCCGAATGTCCAATGCGTGGGCAGGCCCTTCCCTATATCGAAGTGGCCTGCTGCTGCGTGCGGTAATGCGGTACTGAGCCCCGGCCCAGAAGCTTCTGGTAGGCCCCACGAGGCTGAGCCTCAGTCCAAAGGAAACAGGCCCAGGGCCTGTGGTGGTTACTAGCGCCCAACTTCCCTCAGCCTTTGTTCGGTCCATGTTGTGTATCAGGCCCAGGGCCTGCCTCAGTTTCATACGATGAAAGGCAGCCTGGGCCTGGGTGCTTCCAACCAAACGGAGCTGCGCAACTGCCTGAATTTTCCCCAGTTGCGTAGAAGTCCAAAATAGGCCTCGGTCGGGCCTGCCTTCACTTAGGGCGGCCGACCTTGTTGATAACAGGGCCCAGTGGGGCTTATTGAGGCCTTGTGCTTCGCACAATGCCTGAGACAGCCAGAACTGACCACATCATCAAGCTCTTTATGGATAACTGGGTACGTGACTTCGGTCTACAGACGTCTATAGTTAGTGACAGGGACGTGAGATTCACCAGCGAACTGTGGCAAAGCACATCCCAACAGATGGGCACCCGGCTCCAAATGACATCAGGGAACCACCCTGAGTCAAATGGCCAGGCTGAACAGATGAATCGTGTAGTACAGCACCTGCTTCGGCATTACATCAAGCCAAGTCAGGATGACTGGGACGAGAAGTTCCAGATCAGCACTGGACTTTCTATTACCTGAACAGCAGCAAAATGCATCACCTGGCAGCCTAGAGTTCGCTGTCAAATACGAACAGATGCTGCAACACGCTGTAGAGCATATTACGAAAACTCAAGATGCCATGATTGCATCTGAGAACAGGCACAGACGTCAGTCTAACTTTCAGGCAGGTGAACGAGTCTGGGTAAAATCATCTGAACTAGGTCAAGAGTTGGGGATTTCACGCAAACTAATGCCACAGTACTTTGGGCCCTGGGAGATCTTAGACATTGTAGGGGATCAACCAGATGGACCGTCAAACGTAATTCGCATTCCCACACACTTTGCGTACTTACCCTGTTTTCCATGCATCCAAGTTGGCACCTCTCGTTGTCACTGACCAGTTTCCCTCAAGGAGATCAATGCTGCCCCCAACCATGGATGGACACGTGGACATTGACGATATCGTCGAGCACAACCTGATGCCTGTACCCAAGCCTCCAGGAAGGGGTCGACCGCCGAAGCCACAGATGCAATACCGAGTGCGATTCAGACATCACATTGATCCTCAAGAAGACCGGTGGTTCACAAGAGAGGAACTAATGAAGACTGCTCCCCAAATTATCTCAAGTTATGAGAGAAATCTGAAAGGAAGCAGCCTATTCCATAAGAATTCTCAGAGGACTATCGAAGTAAAGGAGGAGGGAATGCGAGGATCCAGGTCCTCGGCAGGCCTAAGGGGCCCCTGTTACATCTGCACCCGCCCTAAGTGAAGGTGGGCCTAACAAATCACGAGAAGCCCTCGGCTGTCAATTTCGTGTTTGGGGTCCAGGCAGTTTCAGACCAAGCAGCGAGGAAATTCCCCAGCCTTCTAGGCTTTTCCGAAAGCGCAGGCCCTGGGCGAGATTCGCAGCCTCATACACAGACAGTTGGGAGGGGCCCAGTAGCTGCACCAGAGGCGCAGCATCCTGGGGCCTACCGGAAGCTTCTGGGCCTAGGCCCTGGCCAGCCAGGCTGCGAAGGCAGGCAGGCTCTTTCCATATAGGAAAGAGCTCGCTGCCTGGAGGGTCATTCAGCACTTGCATGCTGGCGGCAGCACTGCTGGAGAGGACGCTCGTGGGCTGCTGCTGGCGCTGAGAGGCAAGGTGCTAAGCGCGTGTGGAGCAGGGCCCTGCTGAGGGCAGCACCATAGCCCAGCCTCCATAGCTGGATGGGCTTGGACTACAGTGAGGCGCAGGGGTGGTCTTTGGTTGTACAGAGGGAAGATGTGGGAGTAAGTCAGGGGAGAGAGAGAAGGATGATGATGATGATGATGATGTGAGGGCACATACCTGGTATTGGTGATTGGGCGACATCTTCAAGTACTTCGTGGGCTGCTAACGTCAACAGTTGCATTGTCAATTAGTAGGCAGACTGTAGCTGTGTAGGAAGTAGGCTGGGCACCGAGTGCCAATTAGGGAGATAGGGCCTGGACACTCGTGTTGGTGGTGGCGAGAGCAAGCTCTCATTGACATTGGTTTTCAGTGTTACGATTCTTCATTGGTGTTATATTGGTGCATTTCTGCTTTCTGGACACTGTGATACTATCTGGCCTTCAATGTGATTGTGCATTCTAGACATTGTGATCTTGCTATTGCTCATTTTCCTTGCAGAAAGGAAAACCGAAAAAAACAAAAAAAACAGAAAAAAAAGGGAAAAAAAAAGGAAAACGACGCCGCAAAGGTTCTTTTGGGGTGTGGAAAAGGCACCTTGGGCCAGGACCCACTAGCGCGGTATTATACCGTGGGACAGTAGCATGTGACACCCTTTTGGCATTTGAAAAATGGTTTCTATATTTTTTCAGATTTGAAAAACTCGCTTTCTGCGAGCTTAAGAAAGTATAATTCAGCTTAGGCCGCTCCCGTCGAGCCATGGAATTCGCCGCCACTTTTTCTTTTTCTGGGTGTGTGCTGCACTCAGCCAATGGGCCGGGTCCTCTGAAGGGCGTGCCTCTACTTACTTTGAAGCGGCAGCTTCGGCTGCAGGGATACCCAGGATGGATCTTCAATAAGTGACTCTGGAAGTTCGTGATGAGGCGCGCCCCTTCGTGGGAAGGTTGGGCGCAGAGGCTTGGGGGGTGGTGAAGGAAAGAGTAAGGCGTAAGGAGGTAGAACCTGTGGGCACCTAGCGACTTGCGGTCTGCCTACCTGAGCGGGTTTCGATCACGTAACCGGTTTTCAACCAGGTACTCGTCCTCAAATTAGACCAGCGGGCCTACGAACTAAGTGGCAAAAAAAGGGGGTCGGGGGTTTGAACTGTCGACTCCGGCCAAGTAGCAGTGCTAGTTTCAGACCTGACCTGACGAGAAGTTCCTGGCAGTGTAGGGGAGCGCCAGTTTACTCCATCTTCCGACTCTTCACGTCTTTTCATGGCGAGGAAGGAGTTGACGTTCTCGGGGCATGGCG